GACTTTTACGTCATAATCTACAGAATTCGTCTACATAAATAAAATACGATCTAAGAACTCTGCAGCGTAATCGTAATAACTTATCAATGTATCTATTATCATAAAATTGTATGTATTAACAAGATGCAAAAATAGATTCCATAGCGTTAAATTTGATAATTCCCTCAAACATCACTGTCGTGAAGTTATCTGATACAACGCGAAAAAATACACGAGTGTACGAATAAATCAAATTTCGTAAACATATATACATATTTTACTATCCGGAAATAAACAAAAAAAAATTATAAATTGTCTTAAATTAAATTTTAAGTAGTAATTCTAATGTAGCTCATACTCCCTGATTCATACGCAACGAGAATCCACACCAAGACTTGGACGTAGTAAATGTCCAATGCCAAGAACCAATAGAAACATTTTCTTCCAGAAAAAATGCTACTCTCGAAATTTCGGAGTGAGATTTCTGTTGGAAAAAAAAGTAATATCTAAGAACTAGTCCTTTTTTCCTGTTCGTTTTCCCCGGGTTCTTCTTAATTATTAATAAAACCAACAAAATATGACCTCCTCAATAGGATATCAACAGGATCCAAAACGTTACGAAAAAAGCTCTTTTGTCGTTTATGGATCGGAGCGCGATTTCTGGTAGAAAAACTGGTCACAAACAAGAGAGAGACAAAGAGCACGTATACAAAAAAAATCGATATACTTCTCGCTGCGCTCAGAGTCCGAATAAACATTTACGTACAGAAACACGAGATATAAATAGGTGTGCAATTCGACCGGACGCGAAACGATTTCCCTCGAGTGTTTCGGCGGTACGTGTATACGGTTTTTCGTCACGACCACCGAGGTCCGCCGCGGCCATTATTATAATACAGTCGAGTTCCGTGCGTATACCTTCCGGGCGAGCGGGTCCGCGACGGACATAAAAAAAAAACTGAAAAACTCGAAGGATCGAGACATCGTGTACGCGTATAACATGTAGACACGCGTCTTCTCGTGTGTGTGTGTGTGTGTGTGTATGTGTGTGTTTGTACCCTCGTCGTATATACAGTCGTACACCATAATATGATATTATAATAATATCGCAATCACAGTTTCGGAATACTGTTTACTATGAAAAAAACGTGTGCTCGCGCGTACACAACCGATACGGTCTCGCCTGACAACGCCGACGGTTCACGCGCACACGAGCACTCGCGCGCGTCGGACTGGCGTACAATGGCTTTTGAGTGTGACATTTTTTTTTCCTGTCACACGTATCTGACCTCCGTCTCTGCTGGCTCTCTGCGCTCTCTCATACAGTATGCTATGTTCGTATAGAATAGGTTGGACAGAGCATATAGGTACGAAACAAAAAAAAAAAAAATAATAATAATAATAAAAAAAAAAAATGGGGAAAAAAAGGGCTCCCGGGTACGGGCGAGGAGTGCGATGACGACGGCGCGATGAGTCGGCGGCTCCTCGACGACGAACGGGCCGAGTTTTACAAATACAAAAGAACGAGCACGCGTATTATTATAATACCCGAGTGTAGAATATAATAATGTAAAACTCGGTTGTCGGTCGTTCACGCCGCCGCCGATGATTATTATTGTTTCGGGACGTAGTCGGGAGCGATAGTAACGCTTTTACGAAAAAAAAAAAAACAAAAAAAAAACAAAACAAAACAAAAAAAACTACTTGTCAACTCGTCAAGTATAACAGAACGAGAGCGAGAGAGAGAGAGAGAGAGAAAACGAACGCGCGGCGGAAAATACCGACCGAACGGTTCCTCTTGTATAGTAACCCAAACATAATGATATTGTAACCGTTTTTCGGTCGTCTTCCGAGGGATAGTAAAGTAATAATAATTATTGTTGTTGCCGTTAAAAGTGTCGCCCCGAACGCTATAAAACATAATATAATGCGTAATGTGCACGGTCGGTCCGATACACCGACCGATGTCGCGGACGGACCGTGAAATCGACCGGCCGACCGACGACGACCGCGCATAATGCGCGCGCGCTCCGTCTCTGCCCGTCATGTCTTCGGAGACGGCTTTATAACACCGCACCGGACGCGGCCCTTTTCAATGTGTACACGTTTTTTTCGGAGCACAATAACGGTGATAATGTTCCTCTCACAATAAGACAATTTGTATGTAATATAAACGCTGATATTAATTGAAAAAAAAAAATAAGAATATCGTGGAGGATGTGACTGTATAACGGTAGAATTCAGTGAGACCGGATGAAGCGGAGTCAGTGGAGAGAAGTTCTACCGGTGTTGGGCGATAAAAAAAATACAAAAAAATATGCCTCGAATAAGAGTAAAGGAGAGTTTTGTAAAACTGCGAGTTGTGAGGCCGACGATGATGTATGCCGGCCCAGAGTGTTTGACGTAGAATAAAAGAGATAAAATGGAATACAAATGACGGGGAAGTATAGCAGAAACGAGAATTCTATATTGGATAGGACGAAACAAACAAAACGAAATAAATGTCTGAGAGATCAGGTAAAACAATCATGAAGATATAGATGAGTAAATTGCATGTATGAGCGTGACTTGGATAGTTTGTGTCGGGATTGATGTCTTCTTCCTATTTGTGTTGAGTCTGCGTTAAACTGATGGTATTGTAATTAGTTTTACAAGTTTTTGCATTATGTGAAATAGCCATGCTAGTCATACTCAGTCTTTTTCGACAAATGTCCAATAGCGTATAAACACTATTGGTTTGGTACACCCACATTGCATTAACGCTGTTGGTTTGATTCACCCACAATTACTTTATGGGTTTATCGTTAAGTACGGCCGTAACATCAACGAACAATATAGAAGGGACACTCGATCAGTTGATTATCGAGATATGGAAAACGTTTCTGTTCGCTTAGTGTATTTGTCATTGTTCATTGGCGTAGCAAAGCCCAATAATACATTTTATATTATTTCAGAACACGTTTATCGAATTTCTGTGGTTTTCGGTTTTTGTCGGATCGTGGCGCGTTCTATTTGCTAAGGCAACTGTGGACACGTCGATAGGGGGCATTGCCCCGTTTAATTTTGACAGACAGGGCAGTCGCCCCTCCTGGCCAACCTCTCAGCTGACGTCTTTGATCGCGTTATATATGGAAGTAGGGGAAATAAAAAGTGGCTAGTATTAAGACGAGATAATATGACGGATAGGCCCGATGTACTGCATTCCACGGAAACCGAGAATAAGAGTGTCCGGGGATAAAGAGAACCGAGAAGTAGTATAGGTATATATGTATTACGATATCGCCTTGAAAATGCTGAATTGGACGTTAATGAATACTGCACGAGTTCCTTAAATCCAGTCGTCGCGCGGCGTGCTACGTCACTCGGACTGTTAGATGGTCTGTCGTTCAGTACGCTGTCTACCTATAATCTATTGGTTCAATATGCCGTCTACTAATGTTAAGCTGTCCAAAATCTTCCCAGAATTGTTCGAATGGTAAAACGCGGTCACGTAACTGATTTCTATTTCCCTGCGGGTTCACCATCGAGTAAACAAGAAGCGCCGCGGATTTGCATTTCATCCGCCGTTGACCGTTGTAAACACTACGGACTACGAGTTAATCGAGAGTTAAATCATTTCCGGGCGATGTTCACAAGCCGCCAACGTTGCAGCGAGGCGATCGGGTCTAAAACGAATATTTTACGATCATAGCGTTATATTATAATACTTTCAACGATATTTCTACGGTTAGAAAAAAAAAAAAAAAACCCGCCTCGGTCGTTGTTACGTAGGTATATAGACACACTCGAGTTCCGACCGTCTCAACGCAGACGCAAAACGATTTTCCCCGCTTTGTAATAAATCTGACGGGACAGTATGACTGCGTCGCACGTTGTCGCGGCGAATGCTTTTTGCTCTTTTGGTTCGCGGTGTCTTCGTGATTTTACGACTTTATCGTTCTCCCTCACTCCCCCTCACGCCGTTTCGGTCTCGTTAACAATTGTCGTCGATTGCATCGTAAAAAAAAAAAAAAAAAAAAATCACACCAACGAGAACAATACATAATATCGTTGGGGTTGACGTTTACGAATCCTCTGCCACCGCTGCCGCCGCCGCCGCCAGGTACGCCGCCGTGCCCCGCGCTCAGGTCGCGCCACGTCTGTCGGACGGTCACCGCCGCCGCGCCATCCGATTCCGTGTGTTTCCCGAATCATCTCCGATCGGCGGGCATTGTGCATACAGGGCGCGTTTGCCGTACACAATATTATTATTATTATTATTATTATTGTACGGGACCTTTGTACAGCGTACGGTCCCGCGTGCGCGTCGGCGATAATGCAGTCCCTGTCGGATACCGTACATTCGGGTGTAATATATCGCATATTTCTTCTTCTTTTTTTTTCTTTTCTTTCTTTTCGGCTTTCGGATCGTATTTTACGAAATATTTTTCGCCCTCTCTCGCCGCCGACGACCGGCACCTGCTCCTCGCTATTCCGCCGCCACAAAAACCACGTTAAACTCTCGCGCATCATACGTGTACATAAATAATATACGAGTATCGGTTCGGGGAACGTATCGCACCTGTTGCCGATGCATTTATACGCACTCGTAAACCATAATACATCACGCGCGTATTTTCGTATTATCCGCGCCTGCTGCACGGGTATGAAAAAAAAACGCGGTCATCTCGCCGGTCCCGGGATCACACGCGCCCGACGGGAGACCGCGCCGCGTTATTATTGTGTAAAAGTGTCGGCGGGAATGTCCGCGGGGGCGGACGACAAAAGGCCGCGGCGCGGCGATTACGAAAACGGCGACGGTTTTTATTATTTGTATTTTTACGCCTCTCAAATCCCCGTCCCGGACGGATTCGCCGCGTTCTCGTTGCGCAAACACCGGGGGCAACCGCGGCAGCTGCCCGACGACGATCGCGCGTTACAATGATAATACAAGTGCGCGTACACGAACGCGCACCCGGTATATTGTTACGGTATTATCGTATTATCGTGTACACCGGCGGCCGACGGCAACCGATACGATAATGCGTTTCCGTACGTGCGCACGCGAAAATTCGCCGCGGACCGCCGCGCATAATCCGTTTCGCGACGCGTACCCCGGCCGGGGCCCGCGGAGACCGTGCCGCCGGCAGAACCCGTGCCCGGACGCCGTCGGACGCGGCTTCCCAGACCGCGGCGCGTCCGTTTCAAATAAACCGTACGCACCAAAACAAATATCGCACAACAACGTTAGGCGTGTTGTTATTGTCATTGTTATTATCGCGGCGCGCGTGCGCATAATAAGAGTGTCTCGTTGACAACAATATCGTCAAGCGTGAAACGCGCGTGTGTACAAATACAAATAAGACACGCGGCTTATGAACGGCCCACGCGACGCGCGTACCCTACCGCGCAGGGGAAATACTCTCGTTTCGCGCGATATGGCCGTACGCAATTTATTACGTAGCCCGGCCGACGATTTATTCGACCGTCGCAGAAACGATGGGTTTTTTTTTTTATTAGAGCTCCGCGACGACTCAAATACGAAATCCGTGGGCGAATTCAACTGTAACGTAGCTGTAATATAAATCATAGAGAATTTCAAACAGATGATGGACAATCGCTAAATACACGGGTAATGTAACGGGCCGTTTAATATTCTTAAATGATTTTAATAAATTTGGTATCCAAGATCCAGCCTACGACTCATTAAGCCCGTTTTTTTTAAAAAAAAAAAAAACGGAAACAAAGAGTTTGAATAAATAATTCCGTAAGTCTAGAAACACTATCAGTATGTGGAGTACCTCAAGGTACTAGCTCTCTTCCACCCTATTTAATATTCAAATTAACCAAATAAGCGATCCAAAGATACATGTTAAACCAGTCTGTTATGCTGATGACACCGTTCTTTTTGTTGACGGTATAACCAGCCTGTGTATTCACGAACACGGCTGCTTAAATCCAAAATCTTGTACATGTCAAACTTCATTAAAAATAGTAAAAATCTTGTAAATACTTAGGCATTGAAATGTGCCATAACCTCAAATGGCTTTCAGAAAAAAAACTAATGTAATTTAATTAAAAAAAAATGCGAAGAAAAAAAATGTATGTCTGGATTCTTTATCCTTTATATTCATGTAAACTTTGAACGTACCGTCATAACAGCCATTAAACACGTTTTTGGAAAAAATGTAAATATTTTGGGTTGTTTTTATCACTCGACGCAAACGACATACCCCAAAGTTCAAGAACTCGGGTCGCAACTTATGTATAGGGATAATGAAGAATTTATTGAATTTCGCGGTTAAATGGACGAACTTGCATTTTTACCAGTTGAAGATGTAAAGGAAGGTGTGGCATATTGGCGTACGATTGTATCTTCTGATGCTGAACTAGATTAGTTCGATAAAACCTCAAAACCTATGTCGATGTCACATATAGACGAATCCAGTGTAACAACGCTTGTGGTGCAGCTTTTCGAAATAATTCATCTTTTGCACCTATTACAATTATGGAATGTCCATGCTGCAACTATTGAGGACGAAGCTCAAACTAACAATAGCGCTGAGGGTTGGAATCATCGTTTCAGTAAATTCGTCGGACAAAATCATTCAACAGTTTGGACGATGGTAAGCAAAATACGGTTGGAAATAACGGCAGATGAAACGAAATTAGCACAAGAGTCATTAGGTGTTGTACAAAAGAAAAGATATATTAATGAAGACATTAAAAAAAAAATTAAAACAGTTATGTTTAAATTATAAAGATGCACCAACATTTTGTTTGCGATTGCTTATACAATAAGAAACCGTTTATTATTTTTTTTTAATTTAAATTAATTTTTATTAGGTATACATTTATTATTTATTTTTTTTTCAATTAATAATTTTAGCATTTTAAACTTCATAACATAATATTGATAACGCAATAAATAGACTGATAATTATATTTATTTATTATTTATATTATATTGATTATATAATTATCATTTTGGTTTTTTTCCGTTGGTTTTTTTCCCCGTATACCTATATAAATGACACCGCACCGTCGGCCGTTTACAATGTGGCCATTGTTTGTAATGAAAACTTATTGTTTTTTTTTTTTTAACATTATTCGGCTTGCGGTTAATAATTATAAAATCTCGGTTTCAAAATACGAGGTGAGGTTTATGTCACTTATTGGCCAACTGTTGAATTATTATACACACAAAAAACGGACTAAATACTGAAATTAATGGTTGTTACTGAAAATATTGTTGCCAACGAGTATTATACATTGTCTTTATGGAATCAAGTTATAGAACACTACACACTACATCTCCAACTCAAGCCCAGCGTACAGGAGGTGTGCATCTACAGCATTTTTTTTGTATATTAACTGCAATTAATTATTTTAATTATGTCGTGCAAATAAATAAACAATAAGAAAGGTTTCATACTCCCCCCCTCCAACGCCCACTCTTAGTTGCGTGTTAATGGCGTTTTCTTTCGGGCGGTGCGTGCGAATTTTCAAAAACTTTGGCAGTTCCGAGATACACGAAAAAGAGGACGAGTTTATTATAGGTTAGGTTCGATAACCAAATGGGTTATTCGAAACGAGAATCTTTTGATCAATAAAGACATTTGAACCATATTATCTATGAGAACAAAAAAAAAAAAAAAAAAAATAATAACAATAATAACAATACAAAGAACGGGCGTGTATTTTGTGTTCTTTTTTTTTTTTTTGTTAAAATATGTTTACCATTGTAGTAATATATTTGAAACGGTACGGTTCATTAGATTTTAAACATTTTACGGACGGTCATGAAAAGAATAACGTCCGACTGGACAAATAATACATTTAATGTAATTCGAAATCTTCGGACCGGAAAACATAACCCGACAAAGTATTTATATAAATTATTAATTCTTAGTGAACTTCCGGTAAATATAAGTATATTTGTATTGAAAACGTTTATATTTTTTCTGTATAGGTAGCTATAGAAATAAATCACGATGGAGATTTACCGGTCATTTATTCGTCGCCATTTATTTATGTTATGTTCATTAATTTTATGTATAAAGGATTTCGTTATAAAATGTACATATATATAATAGGCGTATCGTGTATTCGTGTATACGTAAATAAATCTTGATTTAAAATTTATTCGGAATAATTTTCGTGAATTTCGTGATTTATGTGGTAAACGAACGACGCAAAACTCGAGCGATTAAATATAAAATTACACAATTTAAAATTCGAATAGAAATTTGAATATTTTTACTTTCGGTATGGTAACTTATTATTTAAAAATACAGATAATATGTACAGAGTACACGTTTTGTGTCGATGACCACAGGTTATATTATAATATTATTATGAATTTAAACATGAAAAACGATTTCTGCAGTGGACCTCAAGAGTACACGCTGCCCGTTTCGAATAGTTCTTTTCGTTTTATTTTAGGTTATATTATGTATTTTTTTTACAGTACAGTCGAAATGGACAAAACGTGAGAAATAGCGTTCTTAGATTACGTATTAATATATATGATCGTTTGACCTCTCCTCTCAAAAACAAATATTAATTTTTAAAAAAAATTGCTCACGACTAAAAAAAAACAAAGCAGTGATTCAGTGATACTGACACAACCGATTCAGTTTTTTTCAATTATTCAAGAAAACTGTAAGTAAAATAAAAAAAAAAAAAACCCTCCCTAATGTACCAACTAGATGCAAAACACTATTCAATAAAAACTCTGTTGTAGTTTTTTTTTTTTTAAATTGGAACATAATTTCTGTTAGCATTTGTTTACAGACACAACAAAAAATAAACCGCATCATAGTTGAATCGATACATTTCTCGCTCTGCTTAGAATCTATAGAAACCTTAAAAACTTATTCTAGATCAGTGCTAACACGTGATATTTTAATTTCCAGATGTTGAAAAATACACGTTTACGATTGAACATATTTTGGATTTCCTACAATAAAAAGTATATACAATACTCAAATACAGCTATGTTCTATGTAACACATTATTACAATCAGTTATCTTATTAGATCTACGGATCAGAGAACTAATAAGGAGCTAAAATTATCGAAAAAGTAGATGACAGTAGGCTAGATACGCTTGACATAGTTACAACTCCTTATTACGTGTAGTACTAGAAAAGAATCCAACAGGAAAAAGGCCATTGGGAGGGCCCCGTAAGAAATGGGAAGGTTTGGTGAAAAATGATGTGGAGATCTTAGGTGGAGGATTGGACTGAACGGAATGAGCATCTGGCAAAGATAGCTGGACAGATGGGTGTTTGAAGAGATGGTCCTAATGGCTATAGACCCGAAAAAGAATATTATTATTCACGACAATAAATGCGACATTAGACGAGAATAAATTATGCGAACTTCTTGCTGCAGCAACGCAGGCTGTAGACAGTGACAAGCGCGATGACACGGAGGAGGTTAGGAGTTATATACCCTCCTCCCTCCCGTGGACTAAAAAATACAATAATAAGTATTTATTCAACAACTCAATCTTAACGTGTTTATACGTCAGCCAAGTTGAAGGAACAGCTTGATTTATTGATGAAAAATTGACATTTTCGGATCCAACATTCGAATTCTAATAATAACAGTCTAGTTATCGGACAGAGAAGAAGATGCAAGTAACGATTTATTCGTGATTTATATTTGCGGCGTCCCCTCCGGTCGTTAAAAATGTCTGGGCACGCCATTGGTTGTGGGCTGCACCGACGACAATAAACGGATTACGCGCAAATAAGTACCCGAGTATGCCATAAATCGTTGTGTTTGGTTAACACCGGATTTTCGAATAAAATATCAAATATAATAAAAAAAAAAAAAAAACCGATAAAAACGTTTAGGCGTAAAATTTTATTTTCGAAAAATATCATTTTACACCTCACGTCGACGCGACACTGCTGTTTGACTATACACGCTGTATACAAATATATACTGCGGTTAAATGCGTGATGTGCGTATAATATTATATATAGCGACACCTTTATAGATATTATATTATAATAATAATAATTTATCAGTGGCCCGAAGTTCCCCTTGTCAGGTATACAATAATTTTATTGTCGACAGCAGCACGGCAAGCGTTTTCGCTGCGTTTGTTTGACGGGTTGTGAAAACGTAAACGAACGCGCCTGCAGATGCTGCTGATGCCCACGCGAAATTAAATTCAGACGTTCAGAAAAAAAAAAAAAAACCTTTACGAGTGTAAATGTTTTTTTTGTTTTTTTCTCCTCGTTCTTTTCGTATCGTCCAGACGATAATCCGTGTATAAATTGTCATCGAGCATAATTTACAACATAACATTATAATAATATTCGAACCGTCAGCGGTTTCCCTACACTCGTAGTGCGAGTATAATATTATAACAACGCGGGTAATATTATTATAATATTATAATTCTTACATTGTATTATACTGAGAGCTACTCTTGTACTCGCATAATGTACAGGGTGATCAACATAACGTAAGACGTTTAGTATTATTATCGGTTAGTGTTAATTCTTTTTGGAATTTCAGAAACCCGAGTGGCTCTAAACTCTTAGGTGTTACAATACCGTTATTGTTTATCACCCTTAATTTTTGGCGTGACAGACAGCACTGCGTACCCACTTATTATTTTCAAACATTAACCTATTATATTGTTATACATTTCATAAATAGTTTTAATATAAATACATTTTGATATTGAAATTTGTATTTTTTGTCAAGTAGTTGACGAGATAATCCGTAATCCACTGTCGTCCACTATGTTCGTCATTTTTGGAACAGTGGACGAGTAGTGGAGCATCAGCATTTTGTGTGGCGGACAGACGTGCTGCGTTTGAATATTAGCTAGTGCAATCAACACTTTAGAAGTGTTTGTTTTTGAATTGTGCGAAAAACAAATATATAGAAAAAAAATTAATACGCAAGACATTCCGGAATAATGAGTGTCTTGCGTTATGTTGATCATCCTGTATTATAATTTACGTGACATTGCGATTATTAGTCGGCAAACGCGTAGTTAATACTGTTTCGATGTGAACTTAAAAAAAAAAAAAAATAATAATAATAGTAATAATTTGATTTTAAATTACTCAATTAATGTCAGGGTCGTAAATTGCGATAGAGGTGCACGTCATCGACGTGATAGCCCAAAAAAAAAAAAAAAAAAAAACGATTACAACGATATGCGAGACGTATATTATAATTTCGAGGGGTGGGGAATGGAAACAATTATAATTATAATACCGTGATTCGGGTTTACCGCGGTCGTGGTATACATAAATCGTGAAACCGTCGATCGGCCGCGGCGGCACCTACGCACAAACACAACTTACACAAACACGTCGTCGTCGCAGTCCATAAATGTGTTAGGAAAATCGTGACTATATGGATTTTCGATATTTTTATATATGTCCGTGAGAACCGCTTACGAGGATTTCAGATTTTCGAGCGGCCAAATAAATTAATCGTATTCACATAAATCTACTAAAAAAAAAAAAAAAAAAAAAACTCGACAATTTCAAATAACCGTATAATGTATATTATATTGAACTATAGAAAAAAAAAACCGGTCAAAAGCGAGTTACAAGAATCGCGTACTGCAGTGGGTTCTCTACTACGGAGACCTTTAAAAAGTTATAGTAATATAGTAAAAGATATTTTAATCGTGATCAGAAATTATCTCAACTTGGTGTTATCAACCACACGAAACAGTACACAGTCGCGTATGTTTTTACGGTAAATTACTAACAACTTTTAGATTTTGAACCCAGCGAGAATTTTATTGGTTTCAATATATATTGTGTGGGGTACAACGGTAAATCGCTTCCTCGCAGCGTACTCCGAGCAACGTCTCTGACGGCAAAAGATTTACCACACTCTGATCAACGAACTGATCATATTTCGTTAACAACGATATAAAGCTACGTTAAAATGTAACAAAGTTACAATATAACTATGTTGCGTGCAAATTTTAATTATTTTTTTTTTGTCTGTAAAGATCTTTTCTATCATAAATCGTATACACCAGTAAAAAACAAAGAGAGAGTCTTTTTGTAGTTTGTTTCATAAAATTGGTGCGTTGGGATATTGATTTATTGATTTGAAAGTTTACGGCATTCGTGGTTTCGTTATTTTCGCTTTTTGGTTTTTTTGTCACGATTTAGTTGAAAATAATCGTATGGACCTGATGTTTTCACAAAAAAAATGGTATTAGTGTTTTCCAGACGTGGCGACTCCGTGCGCGTACTGCCCATTTCACTATTCTAAGTAAAATTTGTTTTGTGATTGAAAACGACCCCGAAATTCTCGATTGTGTCTCATTTTCCATTTCCCAGTTCGAGCATCCTTACACGGTCCGAAAATTATCCCAGGAATTTTCTCTCGAAAAGTTCCAGTCTTGTTTCTACCGGTTTTTTAAGAAACCTCGTTTCTAAGCCACCGGGCGTATTATCTGAATTTTTAAATTTGTTGATGTAGCTTTCGGGTTTCGCGGATTTCCCAACACGACAATAGCAGCTATCACTCGATCCCTACACTAACACCGACACTATAAGCCGGTATACTCGTTTAAAGCTGCGGCGGCGGTTTCCTTCATACACTTCCACCGTACGTCGATGCATACCGGTACGGCGAAACCGACGTATCGCATATTACTCCCGGCAAGCGAGACAAATACAAAACGAAACATTTCTCCGCGTCATTTGGAATTATATTATTATTTCGAGTGGGCACCGCGGCGGAATCTCCGCGCGGTCCGTTTGTTAAAAAAGATCGTGACGCGTACGACGGCGTACGGTACGCAACAACGGCGGCGACGGGTTTGTAAAATATTGTTGTATTATAACAATAATAATAATAATAATAATAACGATAATAATATTACACATTGTCTACCGGTATAATATGTTTATCATAACCGACACCGCGCGATTACGACGATAACATGACGGAACGTTAATGCGGTATTCGGTTTCCTCTGTTGTACAACCGAAAGCGTCGTCGGGCGCGTGATGAAATGCTACACTAACGGCCGTCGTCCCGGGACGCGTTGAATAATGTAGAAAAAAAAAAAAAAATGAAAAATGAAGAAAAAGAAACGTAACAAATAATAATAATAATAATAATGTTTTTCAACAGTTCCGCGGCACACCGCCGTAACAAGTCTGTATGTTACGATGTGCGTACGAGCGTATTGACGCGGCGAACAAAAAAACCCGACACGGTATAACGCGTACCCGTACACAGACGAGGGTCGAATCCCTGCGCGATTGTAGAGGAGGACGCGACGGCGATGACGCGGCGACATTTTATTAACAAATTATTAACGGGCGCGAGCGTCACACGAAACGGAAAAGCGAAACGGATTCCCCGGGGCCGACATCACGCGCGCGCCCGCGGGTGCGTGTACCGCGGCCGGGGTTACGGCGGGGTCGTGAACGACGATTTATTTATCGCGGGTTCGTCACGTGTATAAAGATTACGATACGCTACGCGGTGTTATCTCGGTGGTTTTTATACAATCAAATGCGGTCAAATACGCGCGCGTGTTACGAACATAAACAGAGAGCAAACAACAACAAATAACAACAACCCGCGACACTGTCGACGGGCGTGCCGCCGTATGACACGATGAGACGGGGAGGGGGCGGGGCGATTTACGCGACGTTAAACCGCGGCCGACGAAAAACGATTCTGAGCGGAGTGTTACTATTAGCCGCGTTCCGTCCGCCACGCCGATTCGTACCGCAATAAAATGATCGGTTTATACAATTAAAGGCTACAAGGAAGACGAACAATTTTTATCACATAAATGATGCACCGAACGGATCGAAAATGCTACAAGAAAGTTTTCGGAAGAAATTAGTTGTTTACAGACACTTGAATAGAAAAAAAAAAAAACACTATAGCAAAACGAATACATTTCTCACTGTGTTCATAATTTCGTCGATGAGACGAGGACTCGATTTTTTTTTAATATTCCTCGAACAACGATCCCGTAACCTTTGTCTGGTTAAAAAGCGTGGAAGCTGCATGCTTATGTTTGCTATCCCGGGAAAAATTCTTTATAAGTAAACAGCTGCCATCTTGGTCTTTTTTGATTAGATCTGCAAAACCTATCATACCAGTTCAAAATCATATTATTCGAAATTGTTATTATATCTACTAGGTTTGTTTTGTATATTTCAATGTTTGCGTTTATCTCATTAAGAGAATAAGCAACGGTGCTCATGGCAACGAATAATAGGTGTGACTCTGGACTGATGGCACTGCTCGTTCAACAAACCCGCACCACTATATCTATAGGACGATGCAAATAACATTATACGAGTATAAAGTTCTAGTCAGGCCAGTGTCTATTAATGGACGTTTTGCGCTTGGGTCGCTGCAAAACCGGATGAAAAAATCGATGCAATTAGCGTCCGAAAGAGAGATATCGAGAACGAATTTGGTCTGGCGAGGAATAACGACGGGGATATGAAATAAAAAGAAACAAAGTATTGGAGAAGCTATTGTGTTACGCTGAAAAACTGCGGCCAAGGGAACGTGCTCACCTAGTCAGCAGTTCGTTTCCGATGGTTTACTGGAGGAGCTTGGGGAGCTGCTCCGTCTCCCGGTTCTACTAGAGGCACGGGTCTCTCTGCCGGCGTTGGATATCAGTAGTGCCGCTGTGAATTTATTCGCGACACGTGCAAATTCTCGCGGTCGGGCGAGTGCGGGTACGACCCGACCGAGGTCGTATCCGGCGAGAATTTCGAAACTTCGGGTTCGCCTCTCCACGTGGTCGATTCCCCGATCTTTTCGCGCACCAACCTCCAGGTCGCATCGTGGGATGTCCTCAGTCTGACAACGGAGATTATGTTATCAAACGCGTGTCGGTAGACTCCTGGCTGCTACCGGTGCTCACCGATCATTTGCACCGTTAGTCGAAATATATCCCACTTCGGGCGGTTTCCGAGCCCAGGTGCTGACTCCGTTTGGTGCCGAACTGGGACCCCGGTGTCGACGGTGGATTCGCGCTGCGATCGGCACCATGCAATGAAGAAAGGTACGGCCGGAGATAATTTAAAATCAATTATTAATCAATTAACGTATTACGCTGAAGCTGTAGTGTACGTATAGTTGGGACCTTGAAATGGAAATAAAAAGGATTGTAATTAGACAGATGGAGACCATACACTAAGATCCAGATGATGACAAAACAAAATCGGTGGACGGACTGTGTACAGAATATCTTAAGGTTGCTGGGAGTCAGGAATGCTGAAGAAGCTGCAAATGATAAGGTAATTAGATAAGGTGCAAATGTAAGTATTGGGCCTTTAGGGTCTATAAATAAGCTAATAATAATAACAACAATAATAACAGATACGTTTTTTCGTACAAAAACATCAAATAACAAGCAGGTTATTTTTGTCAAAAACGAGTAAACAATTTTCAAGTAAACAATATAATATAATTCTTAGTATGTGCACCAAAATCATTTGTATATGTCCTAAAAAAAAAAAAAAAAAATGTTTATTACCACTTATCCCAAGTCTTTTTTAATTACACGAGAAAAAAAACCCATTAAAAATACTAAACAAAATTTGAATGAACTGAAAGTAATAAATATTATTATTTATTAGTTGGCAATGTTGGTTTTTTTTTAAACGTTCAAAAATAAATGTAGTTTTCCTTTATGTACAATTTGATGACAGAAGCAGGATCCAACTAATATTAAATGTTTCTTTCGAGGTTTGTTTTGGTGCTACCAGCATTGTTGGAATAGGAGGAATATAAAACAAAATCAAACTTAAAACGCTTATTAAAAAAAAAAATTAATAACTTTTTTTAACACTAAATGCAACTTACAATGAACATCGAATTATAATTGTCAAGCATTCGATTTATAATTTTACCCATATGAAACCACATAAAAACTAAAACAACTCGAAAATGTCAAACGCCTGTAAATATAATTATTCAAAATAATATGAAAGTTTTTGAGAATTTTACTTCGTCTAGAAAAGGTTTCTATTAGTATTCTATACCACGTCTAAATAATTCTTCGATAACCGCAGATGAACAAAGGGAAGCCTTTATTCTTATCCGAATTACAATAAAACAACATAATCGAAAATAATGAGATCGTTATTATATTGCTGTAAGCTGTTCCGCTTTTCCTAGGTTTTTCCCTGTTTTTCTCAATTACTAAAAAAACGACAAGGAAAATGTAAAAAAAAAAATTATCTCCTCAAAGCACCGACTATGGTATTTCTATCTGTTGTTTATAGATAAAAAAAATGTCACACTTCTAATAAAACCCAAATATTATATCCCTTGCTGCGCCCGGAATCTAAAAAAAAAAAAAAAACCTAAAGGCACCTATATAACGTAACCAAATAGAGAAATCTCACGGCCTTAGTACAAGAAAATCCGTTGGTGTCGACATCATACAGACAGAAAAAAAAAATCATCGACTAAATGCGCTCGGGATTTTTGTAAACTATACCTGCGACCTCTCTATATATAATACGCCGTATAATATCATACGCGCGCACACGAAATTAGTGTTTTAACGGGATTACAACCGTAATTACCGTAATGCGTGTTGGAAGAACGGGAGGAGAAAAAAAATCGTCGTATCATCGCATCGTCGTCGTATAATATTATAATAACACTGCTGGACGGCGACGGGAGGGAAAAAAAACGAGACGAGGAAAAATTAAGACGTCGTCGTCGTCGTCTCCGGGAGAAGTGATGGGCGGCGGCAGTAATAAGGGAACCGATTTAAGTAAGTATAATAATAATGATAATAATAATATTATTATTATTACTATACGACACACGAAACCGCACGATTATCACGGACGAAAAAAAAAAAAACGAGAAAAAAAACCGAACGTCATCGCGACGGCTGCTGCGCAGTAAATTAACGGGGAATTAAAGGGGATCCGGTGGCCGAGACCGATGAGGCGGTTTAATAGGTATACGCGTAAGTCACATTTTTTATTTTTTTTTTCGTTTTATTTATTTTTTTTTTTCCGATTATTAAGTATTCACCGCATCCTGCTCGCGGGGTTCCTCCGCGGTCTGTACTCGCGAGCATACACGTAAATCGTATTTTACAATATAATATACAGTATATTATAATATTATTTTATTCGCCGCCGCTGCCAACGCGTAATATTATTAACATGTCCACGAAAAAAAAAAAATACACATAATATATATATATATATTATAATGTACCCGCGTATAGACGTGAAATAACCAGTTTTGGAAATATAGCGCCTTCCGGAGAGCCGAGAGCTGAGGTCTCTATAATATTATTATTATCCCGCGTGTGTATAGGCACGCCGCACCCGTCCCCTCCCCTCCCCTCCCCCCCCCGTCACCCGATAACCGCCGTGTCCACGGCAGAGATACCGAAAAGAGATTATAATATTATTATATTATTATTCGTATTATATTCGTATTGTGTGCGTGTGTGTTTATAATAGGAACGAGGAGGAGGCGTTCGGTCTGCGCCGGGTTATTTTTATTATTATTATTTTTTTTTTTTTCTCCCTCCTCTCCAATCTACGACGACCGCCGCGTTTTATTTTATTATTATTTTTCATATTATAATAATATAATATATTTTAATGGTTCTATCTGTCGATTTATCTGGTTTGCTCCTTGTACGCGCCACGCACCGCACAATCCGTGTATATCAGCTCTCTTGTCCCGCTGTTTTCCCCCCTGCTCCCGTGCAACGTAAAAACGTCCACGTACCCGCATGTACGTACGTGTATCCTATATTATAAATTTCTCGGACAAGGGCGAGGCCGCAGAGCAGCCGCCGCGGCCGTCTGGAGGCAATAAGTTTCCTACGGAACAGGACTCGTCCGTCGGCGTCGTGTTCTGTTGTCTGTGCGTACGGCAGTTGTGTCGTACCTTGTATATTATACGCCGCCGACAAGAGAGCTGTGCGCGCGACATATAAGACAATCCGATATATTACATACCTATTAATATTATTATTATTATTATTATTATCGTACCGTGTCGTGTCGCGGTAGGTATTTATTTATTATTATTTTTTTTTTTTCGAGCGCCCGTTTCGATTTATAATAACAATATTATTATTATTATTATTATTATTATTATAATCGTATTAAATACGATATATGTGGACGTAGCGACTATCTCCCCGATCTCCCCGGAAATACCTATAATCATACGACAATATAATATTGTTATTATCAGTGACGTCGGCCGTTAAACTCTCCCCGCGTCGTGTTATTTCCGAACGCGCGCGACGAGTCCACCTCGTCGTCGTCGCTTTTCAGGAATCCGAACGTCACATCCCGTAATATTGTTATGTCGTTCGTCATTATACGATTCGGCTATAGGTCGCGATAGGCGTTCAACCACGGTGGTATACGACAGAATAATAATATAGATTTATAATAAATCTACGTGTACCATGCGTGTAAAGAGCAGGTGTATTGCATTATCCAGGAACAGAGATAGACCTAGTGGATGGTCCGATCGAGGTAAAATAAATAAAAAGCCCGTTTGATCCACGGTAATTATGCACTATTCAATTTACTGTTCACTATCAATTGAAATTTGAAATTGCATACACAGTATAGTAATATGTAGTTTTATATCTATGGAATATAGAAACAATATTGTACAAGTATTCTTTTCCACGATAAGCCAATCGGATATTTTTGTCTTCTCACCCGATGTCTAGTTAATGTCTACCGTATACGAGAGGGGTTGAATGCGCGGTCCATATTTTAGTTAAAGGAGGAATACATTGAGGAAGTATAAACAGAAAAGGCACTTTTCGTGTAGAGAGGTAAATAAAGACGCGTTAATACGGAAGACGGTCGTTGCAGATGGCATTTTCTGTGTTGTCAGCTATTAATAATCGTTATCATCAAGTATACAACAGAACAGGTGCGATACCAATTCGTTACGAGTCACCTACCACAAATTGATAGTCAACCATTTTGGTACGGTTTCAAGCCTATAGCAACTTGTGGCAATTTCTACTTGTCCCTTAGCTGATGAAATCGACTTTTATACCTTCCTTCAACCAAAAAAACGAAATAGTTTGAATACATTTTGTACTTGGCAGTATATAAAACAAAAATTTAATTAAAACGAAACTTTCGCAATCAATAATAAATTACACTGATTGTTTGGTAAAATATGGATTTTATAAAAAATGAACAATTCAGTTGGGGACGACGATAAATCACCGCTTATCGCTGTTAATCCAACATCGATCAGTGTATGCGCGGTGAAACGAAACGAATTTCATTATTTTGAAACCGTTCTCAATTTCGAGAGAAAATAGTCACCATCGATTACTATCAACGAAATGTGTATTGCATTCGGTAATCTCGAAGCTGGACCCCGCGAAATTTTGTATGTCCTATCTTACACATATATACTGACCGTGTCAATTCCTATCAGTCGTGTCCATGGCCTCGTTCGGCTCTCGCCCACCACGTTTATGTTTAAAGCCATTTAAACATTTATCGCCGCAAGTCCGACTCGGTCGTTTTTGAAAATATTGATAATTCGAATAGATAGAAAATAATAAGCTGCGTTTATGTATAAACACTATAAACGCCTACACTGTCGCGGAAGCCATCGCATAATAATAATATGATGACGTGTCGTGTTAAAATAAAAAAAGAACTGTTAAATATCATTCTGTTACGTCGTGTCGTCGTAATATTTGAACAACACTACGCACGATATTTACCGCCGTATCCCGGTCGTCGGACACGTATAGTCACCGGTGACATTTTTATTTGTATCGGAAAAACGCGTAGGATTTTGCGGACAGGTTATATAGACGTGTGCGATATGTATGAAAAAAGAACAAAAAAAAAAAAAAGGAATCACACGTTGTCGTTGTCTTAACAACTGTATCAGCTTGCTCCTCGTTAAAACCCCCCTCTGCCCTTGCCCATAGAAAAAAATGTGTAATGCGTATTCGTAAACTCTTGCAATATCCTTGTAGACCCGACCGGCGGTCCTTTCGCGAC